AACCCCCCATTATTTTCTCATTTCCCCAGGGAGGGTGAGGCCCTCCATGGGGGTGTCCATAGTCTGTCATTTCATATAGGGCAGGGCCTAGACCCTTCCCCAAGAGTTCAGGGTGAGAGTGCACCTCACATTGTTGGATGGGAGTCCAAAGTCTGTGTGTATACTCGGGATGGGTACTGATCTGCTGCCCAAGGCTCAATAGATTACCTAGGACTCCTCACTGACACTCACATTCAGGGGGTCTTGATCAGTCCCATGCTGGATTCCCAGGCTGATGCCTGGGATTCAAGAGTTAACCTTTGTCAGGTCAGCTGTTTCTGGGGGTTAAACCAGCCCAGTCTTAATCTCTTTGGTCATCAGTCCTCCCTCTCTGTTACTGGCTTTTTTGAGTTCAGCTCAGTGCTTAGCTATGGGAGTCTGCCTCTTCTTCCATCAGCCACTGAATGAAGGGTCTGTTTCCCAGATTCTCTGGCCATGGGATTGTAGGCTGGCACTCCCCAGATCTATGTCTAAAATCCATATATGAGAGAGTACATGCCATGTTTCTCTTTTTGTGACTGGGTTACCTCACTCAGGATGGTTTCTTCTAGTGTCATCTATTTGCCTGTGAATCTCAGGATTCCATTGTTTTTTTTTTCTGCTGAATAGTACTCCATTGCGTAAATGTACCAAATTTTCTCTATCCACTCTTCAGTTGAGGGACATCTAGGTTGCTTCCAAGTTCTGGCTATTACAAATAATGCTGCTATGAACATAGTAGAACAGATTTCTTTGTTGTATGAATGGGTATCTTTTGGATATATGCCTAAGAGTGGAGTTGCTTCTGGTTTCTCTTCAGATCGTATAAATCTTTCACCTTTTCTTCTTATTTTTAAATCCACTAATGGTTTATTATTTTCTTTTAGTAAGGGTCTTAAGGTGAGAGTCTTATTTGTACTACTGAAGACTCCCTTATTAACCATATTTTTATGAAGGGACTACATAGACAATAATAATAACTACAATCTTTTTCTCTCACTTTAAATGTTCAATTAGTTGGCACTGTGATTGGGACTGAAATTGCTCCCATATATTAATCATCAATGACTCCTGTATGATTCCTTTTCTGTATAAACTACAGCAAGCCAATGGAAGTCTACCTGTTTGAGGCAGTATGGGTCCCCAATATCATTTATCTAACTTGAAAGGATCTTGAAGACAGGAAATGGCAATACTTTAGAGCAAGTATTATTAATAGCAGTACTTCCTTGAGTAACAGCTTGTAACAAAAGAATAGATTTGATGGGGGGAATTCCTTCTGTGTAAATCTCTCTCTTACTGGCTAATGAATAAAACACTGTTGGTCAATGGGGAAGCAAGATCGGTGGGACTAGGGGAGAAGGAAGATTCTGGGAAATGGAGGCAAGACAGTCACCATGTGATCCGGGGAAGAGAGGACGTGTCAGGATGCCGTCCTCAAAAAATATAAGTCCTTATAGAAATATATATTACTAGTCATGGGTTAATAGTTAAGACAAAACTAGTCAATGAGAAGCCCTGGACATTGGCCAATGGCATTGTAACTGATAGAGTCTCTATGTGTTATTTTGGGGGCTAAAGAAGCTATGGGACCCAGGAAAGAATCCCTCAACACAGATTGATTACAATCTAAAGCTGGCATAAATGCTATTGTTTTATTTGTAAACACTCTAATTTTGTGGTGCCTTTATGGATCCCATCATTTGTTGACTGGCACTGTTTTTGGTGTTAGGCAATGTATTGCAATCCTTATCATATTTAGACCGGAATTTCTTTTTTGTAATGTTTTTATTTAAATTAGAAACATGAATGCTTTACATGTCAATCCCAGCTCCCTCTCTCACCCCTCCTCCCTTGTCCCTCTACCAGCCTCCCAGCTCCCACAACCAATCCCCACATCATTCCCCAGGGAGGGTGAGTCCCTCCTTGGGGGCATCTCTAAAGTCTGTCATTTCATCCAGGGCAGGACCTAGGCCTTTAGCCATGTGTCCAGGATGAGAGAGCATCCCTCTATTTGGAATGGGCTCCCAAAGATCATCCATAAACCATGGTAAACACTGATCTACTACCCAAGGCCCCAGTAATTCCTGTGGCCTCCTCACTGAGACTACATTCAAGGAGTCTGGATCAGTTTACTATTGGCCTCTCAGGAATCAGTCTGGGATTCAAGAGCTCCCTCTTATCCAGTCAGCTGTCTTTGTGGGTTTCATCATCTTGTAGACCAGAATTTCTTAACTCAATGTTTTCTTTTCTTACATATAGATCATAAGCCAGGAGCTCATTGATTCTTAGCATTCACTCATTTCAAGGACAATTTATATTGTTTCTTCAAGTGGCCACTTTGCTAACATCTTTTTTTGTACAGCTTAGATTTCTGTAGCAGCTACTTTTGCTTTATATTTATAGATCTCCACATTTCTACAAAACTTTGGAAAGTCCACAACATTTTATATCTTGTTTTGAGACTTGATTAATCCACAGAAAACTTGACTGGCATTATCAAACTCTAACTGGTTTAAGAACTCATGAATTTGTTCCCCGTTTACTTATTATTCAATAGCATCTTTGAGTCTCCCTGCGAAATTAGCATAAGGTTCAGGGGAATTTTGTATATTTTTATATAATTAGACCCAAAATCATACTCCATATTTCTGTATCAATTTGCATTCAAGCAGTGATATACAACTACATCCCTAATGTGTGGGAGAGCTGTGGCAAGCATATTGTGCAGCTGATAATCTGTGATAACCATCTACCAGTCCTTGTCAGCATTTTGTATGTGACATTTCTAATATTATCCCTCAGTCCTAGCTGTAGAACTTTTTATGAACTTTATCAACAAGACACAGCTGCCACTTAAGGAACTGGAAAGAACTAAGAACCATTTTAACAATTATATGACAATCATATGGAAATTATGGCACATTATTGTTCTAGGAAAAAGATATTAATAACTACAGGGATCAGCAGAACCACAAATCTTATTAAAATCTTTCATTATATCCATTCTAGTCCCTGATAAATATTTTGATTTTATTTAAATTTCAATGGAAATAGTATGCTCATTTCAGGGAGGAATTGGTCAATGAATTCCTTTTCCCTGCCATGTCTTAGTTTGTCTAAGTTGTACAATCAGCTTTTTCATAGGCTCTCCTAAATCTTCATCAATAATTAGAAAGACCACAAGTTTAGATTGATTATCAGATTTGTCCCACCATTCTTCAGTATTCTCTTTAGGCAATAAAGGAAGCATATTTAAAGAAATTTTCAATGAGGGACGTGGGGAACCTATCACAAGCATAATTGCCCACAGTGCTGATTTTACTTTTGATTTTATCTGCACTGGAAAAGTTCTCTCGTTCTCTTCTTTTGCCTATTTTATGCATTTGAAGATGTAATCATCTAGTTTATATTCCTGCAAGGAATTAGTCATGTCTTCCTCATGATTAATAATTTTATAATCTTCCTTAAATATTTTATAATATTCTAAATCAATGCCCAAGTGACCCAAATTTGGATGCGGATATCCTCCCCTTATTTATATGCCTTTTCAATATTCATTCAGACTCTGTCCCATAATTCATCTAAAGTGTTTTCTTCTGTAAACTAGGGATTATGATCACAAGCCATTTGTATACAGTCTAACAGTTGTTATTTTAATACTTGTCCCCCTTTTTTATAAAAAGAAAAAGGATGCAAAAGCCTTGACATAAGTCAAAGTCTTCCCTGGTTTCTGCCCCATTATTCTCAATCATCTCCTTCTTTGAGGCTTTCCACTCTCATATTGTGTAGCCAACTTCAGCTCTCTGTGCAGAAGCCCCTTGTCAAAGTTCCAGAGGTTTAGAAAGGGGCATACGAGTAAAAAACACATGAATTGAAGCCTTATACAATCACAAGGACAAGCCATTTGTGACAAACAAACAAAAAACGTGTTTCTTACATTGAATCTTTCTGAGTTAGGTTTTAATTGCTCTGTGAGAGAGAGACCTTGATCATGGCAACTTCTATAAAAAAGACATTTAATTGTGGTGGCTCACTTACACATTTGGTTTTTAAGTCCAATACCATCATGAAGACGAAAGCAGCACCATGCAGGCAAATGTGATGTGGAAGCTGAGAGTTGCAGGAAACAGGAAGTCTTCTAAAAGGCACGCAGAGGGAAGCTTGAACATAGGAGACCTCAAAGACCACCCCCATAGAAGCACACTTCCTCCAACATGGCCACACGACCTAATAGTGCCACTTGCTTATGAGACCATTTTGTTTCCAACCACTACAGAGGCTCACAAAGGAAAATGTAAACATTATCTGGACAACAGTAGCAAACAGTAGTATTTAACCTGGAGTAGACATACCCCTATCAGCTACACTTGGAAGGAATATGAAAATACATTCCAAGAAAAATCTTCTTTTTTGAAGAAATTTAGGTCACAATACTCTTGTCCTGTTTTCATAGAATATTCTTTCGAACACTCAGAATTCTCCTCATGTGACTCCCTTCCTGGACCATGCTCCAAAACTACACAATGCAATGTTACTCCTGGAATGGGTCACATGAATGACTCCGTATTCCCAACAATACCAACATTATGGCATTGTTTCAAAGAACTCCAGACCACAGAGAATTGTTCATCAGGAATATTTGTTATGAATAAATAAAGAAAAACTTGAAGTTCTTTGAAAATACTATGGAATGAGTGAATAATAACTATAAGGCATTTAAGTATACTATTAAAACTAGACTAATAGAGTTATCAAGATATATAAAATATAAATTATTAGTAATGTACCACTCTTTTCTTTCATTCCTCCCCCCAAGTACCCTCAAATCAATGCTGCTTTTCATATACATAGCATGTATTTTTTCATTAGTGTTGTTACATACAGATATGCATACACATTTAAATTCCTAAATATAACCTTTTCAAACTTTATAATGCTAAATTGTGATCCATGAATCAATAGTATCTAACCTTTAACAGGTTCTTTGGAGATTTGAAGGCAAAACACCAGATACCTTGGGACCCAATACCAGAATCTACAAATGGCTCCCTCAGAATGACCTTCTTGGTAAGATTCTGTAAAGCAAACCTATCCCAGTTGACTCCAAGTCTTTATGTTGCACTAGTAAATGTATTGTGTATTTAAGATAACAATTTCTGACATACACTTGATCTTTTTTAACACTAATTTTCTCATACCTACCATGTACTCCATGTGTTCAACTGGAAATCAGTATTTGATAGTTTAAGTCTCAAGTCACAAGTAAATTTGCAAGATATCTGTCTGTACATTCAGCTTCTTCTTGTTCTGAGATAGGAAAACATTAATAATGAGGTTAAGCATACAAGAAACTTCATGTAGCTTTTCTTGTGATAAGAATGTATGGCAAACTGCAGCCATGATGTAAACTAAATTAATAAATCTAATTATTAACAAAATAATCTTGATATAGAAAAACATTCTTTAAATTCCTCATAGATAAAAAAGGGTCTGCCAATTAATATTAATCTGAATTCATCTTATTCTAGGTCATCCAAAAACCAAAGCCTTTGTAACTCATGGTGGAGCTAATGGCATCTATGAAGCAATTCATTTTGGAATCCCTATGATTGGGATTCCTTTGTTTGGAGAACAACATGATAACATTGCCCACATGGTGGCCAAAGGAGCAGCTGTTGCATTAAATTTCAGAACAATGACAAGATTAGACTTGCTCAATGCACTGGAGGCAGTTATAGATAATCCTTCGTGAGTATAAACTCTTAGAAATGTGTATTCATTGTTTATTTATTTATTTATTTATTTATTTATTGTGGTAACAAATGTATTACACCTAGAAGCTATAGGAAAGCATTAGAAAAGAGAAACAGGAACGTTATAAAAGAGGTACGTAACTTTTTCTTTCTTTTTTTTTTTGGTTTTTTTGAGACAGGGTTTCTCTGTATTGTTTTGGAGGCTGTCGGTACAGCCCGGCCTTGAACTCATAGAGATCCACCTGCCTCTGCCTCCTGAGTGCTGGGATTAAAGGCATGAGCCACCAATGCCTGGCGAGATATGTAACTTTTATGGAAGTTGTAACTTTCTGCACTGAAATAGTATAGGTATTAACATAAAAGTAAGTGTACGACTAAATGTTTAAATATGCAATCTGTTTTAGGATAAATTCAAATAGGGAAAACATAGTAGAGTGAAGCAAATTAATATGCCCATCATTATTTTTCTTTGTTTTAAAAAAATCCAAGTGGAAGTTCTTTCCTGGAAAAGACTATTTCTCCTCCATTCTGAGCATTACTTTAGTGCCTATAATAATTTTGTGTAGAGTTGGGACCAGTGTGAGATTGACCTCTTCCTATGTTAGCATGCCTATTGGGGTCATCCTTTTTCAGATCTTGTTTAAGGACCTATGTTGTTGAGAATGACTATTGGCAGCACCATTATTAATATCTTGATTAGATATCCATATTGCTGACACTTTATAACTAATGCTTATCAAAGATGTTACTTCACCACAGATATCTTGGCCATCTCTGGCTTTTAAAGTCTTTCAATCTTCTCTTCTCTGATGTACCATGAAAGCTAGTTTTCAGTTAAGGGGCTTTCAAATCAGTTCCAGCGCAAAGGTCCCTGGGCTCTGCTTCTGAAATGCATGCTCTTTCAGCAATAGAAAGTTACCTTCCATCTCTAGAAAATAAGCAGCATCAATAGGCTATACATTTTGGGATTCTCTTTGACAGATATGGCCAACATCTTAATAGAGTGTTTCTCATGTCTGGGTTTTATTTTAAGTGATCTTTATCTCTTAGATGGCACACCATCCATTCAAATGAGAAAAGATCATTAATCATATATGTATATTAATATGTGGAATTTCATGTGTTATGGGTAATTTGGCTAAGTTACTAACAATACATTTTTTGTGGCTTTTTCTGACATCCTTATTGTTACTTTATTATTTTCCATCCTTTGGCATTAACTCTCCTCTCCCTTCCCTAAGGAGCCTTTTCTCCTATTTCCCTATCAGATTAGTTGCATGCTAAATTTTAATTAAATGTAATATTCATACTAAGAAATGAGGATTATTTAATGAGAAGAAATATTAATTTCTATCATTTTGCTTTGTAAATAGTAATAAAGTAAGTTACCATTACAACTATTTCTATTTCTGCTGCATCGAACTGACATTAGGGTTGATAACTCGTGTCTCTATGTTACTTCTATGTTACATTCATTGATAATTATTTCACAATTAGAATCAAATACACCTACAATACTTCAGTGTGTAATTTTTATAGCTCTTACTTCTACAGTTAAAATGATAACAAAAATGAATATCAACAGTCGTAGCAAGAATTAAGCTTGAAATATGACTGAGTGGGTAACATAAAGTTTACTCTAGCAGAGGACAAATGTTCTGTTCCCAACACATACTCCAGGTGGTTACCAACATCTGTAACTCTTAACTCCAGCAGATCTCATAATACACACACACACACACATACACACACACACACGACACACACGTGTTTATGCACACATATATATTTAAAAATAATAGCAAAATTTTATTGTGAATCTAATTTTCAATAAGAATAGATAATAAAATTTCCAGTGCAGAAATAGAGAAGAAAGCTACACTTCCTATGTATTTCACTGAGTAGGTACAAACATATGTGGAAATACATAAAAGCAATGGGAAACAGATATTATAGCTAATTAATAAGAAAAAGGACACATTTGTAATTATAACCACTACTCGTAGATAGCACTCCATAGAAATCTCATTGCAATCTTCATCACCTTTACACAGATATGCACCACCATGGATACTTGAGAGGGATTTGCCTTCTACTTTACATTGTGACACTAGTATATGCTTTGAAAACAATTTTTAACAATAATTGCTCATGGGTAACTGTAATTTCATATACTCAATATCTCATTTTGAAATTTTGTATTTAAGGTTTAACTGTCCCCATACTCTACTTCAGGAATATTTTATCTTCCCATTTTCTTTTTAGATGCTTAGTCTTGCATGTTCAAGGAGCTCAGATATACCTCTGAAATCTTGCTAGACATAAACGTTAAATATAATTCAATTTCCTTCTATGTTTGTGTAATTTTCTTCACTATCCATACCAAAATATTACACATGTACATTTTCATTCATTATATAAGCTGATGTCCATTTTACTTTTTCAGCTATAAAGAGAATGCTATGTGGTTATCAACCATTCACAATGACCAGCCCATGAAGCCTCTGGACAGAGCCATCTTCTGGATTGAGTTTGTCATGCGTCACAAAGGGGCCAAGCATCTGAGGCCTCTTGCATACAACCTCACTTGGTACCAGTACTACTCTCTGGATGTGATTGGATTCCTACTGGCCTGTGTAGCAGTCATAACTTTCCTTGCTGTAAAATCCAGCTTATTCATTTATCAAAAGTTGCTAAAGATGGGAAAGAAGATGAAGAACGAGTAGAGCTCTTTGAGAATGTACTACATAAACTAAATTTCAGCATTATTCTAATTTACAAACCATCTTCTAAACATTCATTGATTAATTGATCAAAGAATATATTCTTTGGATGGAGGAAAGGCAAGGAGGAATAATAAAATTATATTACAGTCTCAAAAATGAAAGACATAATAAAAAGAAAAAGGATAAACTAGCTGTAAGGAACAATCTAGTTAACAGAGTTTCTTCCCTGTAACTGTCTCAGTCCTGTTTCCTGATTCCTTCCTTTAACTGCTGACCTATATTTCCTCAAAAGTGTACAGAGAGCTATGGTATGAAATAAATCCTTACCTTAAAACTCAAACAAAGGGGGGTCCTGGATCTGGGTCAGGGCAGGCAAAGCCAGTCATAAATTCTATTACAGTACCAAAGTACAGATCATATTTTGGGAGACCATAAGATAGTGTGTCATAAAACCACAATCTGTGGCCATTTAATCAAGTTAAGTATGTTATAATTGATAAAAGTATTTTGATTTAACATTGGACATTGCATTTTAACAGATTTTGAAAGTAAACAAGCTATTAGACCAATGTGTCTAGAGCTAACTGATGAATTTTGTTGAATCATGTTAATAGATACTAACCTTTAGAATACCACCCTAGAGGTGCGATAAGATTTAATACCTGGCCGGGCGGTGGTGGCGCACACGTTTAACCCCAGCACTCGGGAGGCAGAGGCAAGCAGATCTCTATGAGTTCGAGGCCGGGTTGGACCGACAGCCTCCAAAACAATACAGGGAACTGAGAATGAACTTGATGTCTATAACCATCTGGGAGCCTTCATCCAGTAACTGATGGAAGCAGAGACAAACACCCACAATTAAGCACTGAACTGAACCCAAGGAACCTAGTGACAGAGAGAGAGAGGAGTGATGAGCAAATTGGCAAAGAATGGGCTGACAAAACCAGCAGAAACAGCTGATCTGAACAGCTTGGACCCCAGACCGACAGCTGGGAGGCAAGCATGGGTCTGATCCGGACCCCTGAATGTGAGTGTCAGTGAGAAGGCCTGGGCAACCTATGGGGCCCTCAGCAGTGGATCAGTGTTTATCCCTGGAATACAAACAGACATCGTGTGTCCATAGCCCAAGAGGGATGCTCTCTCAGCCTGGACTCTTAGGGGAGTGCCTGGACCCTACCCTTAGTGAAATGACAGACTCTAGATCTCCCCTATGTGGAAGGAATTGGCAATAGGGTGGGAGGCTGAGGGGGATGGGGGAGTGAGGGAGGAGGGGACGGAGAGGGAATGGGGATTGACTTGTAAAACAAGCTATTTAAAATCAAAATAAAAATTTTAAAAAACAAAAAAAGATTTAAAACTTGCAGCATAACTCTGCTATTTATTGCTTTGTGTTTCTGATTAGAGCTCACCGTTCTTAGAAGTCAAGTAGAATTAATGTCTGACTGCATGATTATAAGAAGTTGGCCTTAGAATATGAAGAATCCATTGCTTCTAGTCTATGCTCTTATGTATATGCAAATTCTCTGCCTGGTAATTGACTCAAACGAGCTGAAAATTTAACACCAGTTTCCATTATTTCAGATACCCTTCTCTCTCCCTCTCCTTCTCCTTCTCCTACACCCTCACCCCTCCCTCTCTCTCACTATTCCAATTCTTCCCCCCTCTCTCCGTCTCCCCATTCTCCCTTCCCTCCTGCTTTCCCTCCCTCCTAGTTCTCTGTTCTCTCTCTTGCTGCAGACACCTGTAAATCACAAAGTATAAACTCAATGGATTCCTTTCCTTTGGTGCTTATAGGTGCACTGTTGACTATTCAATTCTCATGAAGAACCTCCCTGTACTTAGTGACCTCTAACAAGGTCTTGACAATCTGTATTCCCTGACACCTAAATTTAAACTAGCTATATGGAAGTACCAATTGTGTTCCCATTCTGGAATTAGATATACTCACTCGCTTATTTGCCTACTATGATTCAGTTTCCACCGTCTTGACCTATGCCAGAACTGGTTTATTTTTTAACATGAAGTTATGTATATGTAAGTTTTGTGATTTCTGTGGGTTTATATGGTTTCATCTCTATCACTAGTCTAAATAAATGGTCAAGGCTGCTTCCCCCTTTGAGTTCAGAGACAATCTACATACTTCAGTGAGCATTTATACATTATTAACATAAGGAATTTAATTTTGAAAGAGTGCCTATTTAAAATATATATAGTGTTCTCTTTATATGTCTTTCTTTATTTACAACAAATAAAATATCTAAAATTGCTGGTCTTGTCCTATACTTCTATGGGGCATCTTTTGAGTCCAACATCTGATCAATTTTGACTGGTGTACCATAAAAATAATTGACACTGGAGATGGTTTTATTTTACACAATTTACATAAAATCAGCTAAACCAAAATTTGGGGCATATTCACCAAAGATCAAAAGATAGAAGTGACTCCAAGATAAGAAAATATCTAATATGTAGGCCTTCCATATCTGGTGGCCATATTCTCATTACTTGGGAATTGGATTGGTGAATTATATACAGAGATTTGAATTAGCTGTAGTGGATAATAGCTATGGTCATGTCTCATACTGTTGGCCTCTACAGTCATTCTATGCTTATAGTTATGTCATATAGTTAACATGACATATTATGCATTACAGGAACATGGCAATAGCAAAGTATTGATTAAAAGATATGGCCAATTTTTCCATGAGTTTTCCAATATCATTAACAACACAATAATCCAACCTCCTGTTGGCTACCTAGTATTAATACCCATCATCTTCCTTAATAAGAAGAAGTTGTATTGTTTTGTTAATAGATTTAAATATGGTATAAAAACAGCCAAGAAAGGATATTTCTTTGGGTATATTTGTAATTGTACTTTGACTGTATAAAAAATGAAAAATGTAAACAAAAGATTAAATAATGACTAAAACTGGGAAAATTATATCTTCAAAATTTCATTTTCTTTGTATATAGATTTTGTTTAATAGGGCACAGGTCTATAAGCATGCATTCACAAAAATCATACACAACTCATTCAGAAGAGACAATGTCATTTAATTTGTAGGAATCAAATGAAATTCTCAGTGAACTGTGAATGAGAATGTCACAGCACCAAGAAAAGTATATAATAACAAAAAATGGTAAAAAGAAGTAAAGCTACTGCTGTGATACATCTGAATGAATATGGATGGGTTAGATCAGAATGCTATAATTAGAGCTTAATGAGCTATTGGGGTATTGCAGAACAAATGAGGAAGAACAGAATGGATGGAAAATGTCAACAACTGAGGTTTGACTCATTAAGAATTTATAAAGGAAGGAGGAATCACTGGATAATTGGATTATGTGCCTTTTAAGTTGTATTTTGGCAAAGAATCTGGCTGAATTCTGCCCATGCCCTGAGAAGTTGATTGAAGACAAGTTAAAAAGTAGGGTGCTGATTTATTTCTCAGGAGAATTTTTTCCTCTGTTTTTTAAATTGAAAACAATATTATTTTACATAGCAATCCCAGTTCTCTCCCTCCTGTCCTCCCATTCCCACCACCAACCCACCATCTCATCCCCCAATCTATTATACAAGGAGGATGAGCCCTCCCATGGAGAATCATAAATGTATATCATATCATTTGAGGCAGATCCTAGGTTGTCCTCCATGTCTCTAGGCTGAGAGAGTATCCCTCCATAGGGAATGGGCTCCCAAATTTCCAGCCCTAGAGATAAGTACGGCTTCCATTGCCAGTGGTCTCATAGACTCCTCAGGCCCGGAACAGACACCTACATTTAGGGCGCCTGGTTCATTCCTATGTTTGTTTGCAGAAGTTTCTGTGGATTTCCCCAGCATGCACTTGACCCCTTTGCTCATCACTCTTCCCTCTAGATTCCAGGAGTTCAGCTCAGTGCTTAGCAGTGGATCTCTGCCAAGAGAAACTTTAAAACAACTTACACTCAGGATGTCTTATGGCTGTCACTCACTGCTTTAGTTCAGGTCTGCACTGAAATACAGCAGATAGTTATGAAAAATGGGAAAACTGTCAAGGAAAGGAGTATGAAAAAGTGTCGCACCTGCTGTGCGGCCTGCATCCAAGAATGTAGCGAGGTGGTCGGGATAGATGACACAGAGACCGGTCGGTTGCTTTAAGAAAACTTTATATTTCCCAAGTCAGCTTAGGAGAGAGCTCTCAGGCGAAATCTCAGGAGAAGTCTCTGGCCAAATCTCTGGAGAAATCTCCCCAAGAAAAAGGGCTTCCCTTTTTAAGGACTTTTGCCATCCATTTACATACCATTCTTTCCACTTCTCACCCTCCTGGCTGGTGGTTTAATCTCTGGCCCCAGAATCGGGGAGACACCACAGGGGGCAGGAAGAGGCATCTAGCCATAGGAGGTGTGGAAGGCATGGTATTTCAGTGAGCCAGCCCTTATCTGAGCCCTATCAAGCTTTAAAGCACTGAATTGTTTTCAGTAAACATTACATAGATGCCTGCTCCCAGGCCGAAGGGGAAGTGGGTTTCTGCTCAAGGTCTGGTGTCCCCACAAAAAAGTTTTAATTTGTCAACAAGAAGGATACTGAAAAAGTAGCTGTCGTTGCTGCAGAGGTTAGCACCATTAGAGAGAAACCATCTGCCTTGTAGTATTCGAACTTGAAAAGTACTTTTGGTCTTAATTCACCCATTGAAAGCTCTATCTCATGAATGTTCAAAGTAAGTAGAAAAGAAAGGGCCCAAAACAAAACTACTGCACAAAGTATACCCTCTCAGAAACAAAAGCCCAAAAATGTATTTACTGAAATACATTTGTGTTTTTTGTTTGTTTGTTTATATATATATATATATAATTTTAAAATTTAAATTAGAAACAAGGTTGCTTCACATGTCAATTCCAGGTCCCTCTCTGTTTCTCTCCCCCCATTCCCATGCCCTCCCACCAACCCCCCCAATATCCCCTCATTTCCCCAGGGAGGGTGAGGCACTCCATGTGGGTGTCCATAGTCTTTCATTTCATCCAGGGCAGGGCCTAGACCCTCACCCAAGAGTTCAGAGTGAGAGTGTATCTCTCATTGTTGGATGGGAGTCCAAAGTCCATTTGTGTATCCGGGATAAATACTGATCTACTTACTACCCAAGGCTTAATAGATTACCTAGGCCTCTTCACTGACACGAACATTCAGGGGGTCTTGATCAGTCCCATGCTGGATTCCAAGGCATCAGTCTGGGATTCAAGACCTACCCCTTGTTCAAGTCAGCTGTTTCTGGGGTTTAAACAAGCACAGTCTTAATCCCTTAAGTTATCAGTCCTCCCTCTCTCAGTTCAGCTCAGTGCTTAGCCATGGGATTCAGTGGCTGGTGAAATACATTTGTATCTCCAGATACAACCATTTTCCAAGGTGACTGGGGCACATACTTATCTTGACTCAAAATTTGGCAGCATTAATCACATAGTTGTGGTTTTACAGACCACAACTTGATATTGTATAAAAGATACAATATCAGGATGATCATGAAGGCGTCTGCTGGACTTACTGGCCTCAGACAGGATGTGAGCCTTTGATAGAATGTCCTAATAGACTTCTTACATGATACTGTTAAGGGGGAAGCCTAAGTTATAATGAAGATACTCGGCCATTGAAGATACCAGGACCATGGGACATCCACTGATAAAACCTATATGTACAGAGTATAGTACAAATTACATAAAGGTTCATTATCTACCATATCCAGTGTCTCTACTCCGCCAGGTCATGCACATCTTGTGCCAGAATCTAGTTGTAGA